GTCTGAATCCAAAATGTGAATTTTATTCTAAGCTTTTTCGGTTGGAAGATTAGCATTAATTTTTAAGATAGCATATGAACTGAATATTAAACCTTTCAATTAATTTACATCAAATCCTATCACCACAAGATACAACCGTGCAGTTATTAAAGAACGTTTTGTTAACAGCACGTATTACATAAAACCCCCATACTTCAGACATATTTAAAATAGAACTTTCTGTTGCTACTTAGAAAAAAAGCAGTCACATTTAATGCAGAAACTGTAAGCTGAAGAGACATCCCCTTTCTTTCCCCCCCCTTCCCTCCCCTCAAAAGACACTGGCCATCCGCAAAAGGTAGCGAGCAGCAGTAACGGTGTTGGCAAAATGACAGACAAGTAACGATCTTCTGAGCAAACCTGACAGAAGTTAAAACTTGTAATTCCTGTCAGTCACCGCCAACTCGGGAATACTTCACTATTTACCCTTGGGGAACATCTGCCAACATGCATCCTTCCCACTTTCCTGGAAGAAAATTTCAAAATTCCATTTCAGCAACCAGTATGGCTCATCTGGTGCCACAGGAGAGTTTTGAGCCTCCCTGCCAGCAGCAACACACAACACTGCATCCTCCAAAAAACCCCACCCTTAAAGCAGTCACTGCTTAAAGTTTCAGGATCTGTTGCTAAATAAGTGAAACTCCTCTACAAATACCTGTGTGCATCTAGTGTTACATTAGCTTAAGTTATTCTTAAACCAAGACTGGTACCAATACTAAACAACAGACATTTTGATTTCACAGTTTAGCAGCCACAAAAAATTCCTTGCACCTGAAGCAAGGTCATGGGCAGCCTCTGGAGTGAGAATGCAAAATCATAAAAATCAAAACTGACTTGAACATACAAGGTCCTACCTTACCTTCTTGAAAACATACACAGAAAATTACATTGCTGCTCCAAACCGAATGATAGGAAAAGATGTCACAGAGATTGTAGAAACAGTCTCCCCAGAGCAGAAATTGCCATTCCTTATCTCCAAACCAAAGAGGTGAATTTCACACTAACCCCGGCCTTGCAAGAGCACTGGGAGATCATCAGCCCAGGCTGCCACTCCCAGGCTGGTTTTCCAAGTAGACTCAGACGAGCAGAGAGGCTATGTGGTTTCTTCTCTATCGGGTAATTAGAATGATCAGAGTCAATTCTGCGAGCAAAATCTGTGAACTAGTAACAAATGTAAAGACCAAACACTGGGGCCTCATGGGCTATGAGAGAACAAGACGCCGCCTTTGAAAAGCAAATACTCGGATACAGACAAGCGTTCTAAAACTCAAGAGGCCAACCCAGATTTCTACTGGAATAACCTACTGTTACTGAGCTTAGGCATTTTGTATTCAAAAATAGGAAGCACTCAGCTTTCTCATGTCCTGAATGGGTCTCCATTCCTCACATCTCTTTTGCGTCAGAAAAGATGCCGTAGAAACCTTTTCCTGACCTAAGAGCAAACGAAGTGTATGGCTTCTGCAGCTATAGCAGTGGGTCATGTCTCCTGAAAGAGGAAGATTAATTCGGTAGCTATAAAGAGGTACAAACTTGTTATTGTACCTGTTATGAATATGTTAATAGTATGTTAGTCCAAGGCTAACATAAACCAGAGACAAATCTAACGAACTTGATGACAAAAGGAGGTATCGATAGAGGTAGCTTACACCCTCCAGAAACAGGAGTGTTTTCTAAATCACACCTTTGAATGGGGATTAAGTAGCAGTTAGTCTACCCGTCAATGTGCAACACCTCACGAGTTAGTGAAATCTCCTTCAGAGCTGACACAAGGAAGTGGCTGACTTTTACAGAAAGGATTTTTTTTTTTAATTGGTCAATTCTAGGAGTAGGAAAAGAACAGATTCCAGGAAATCAAACTGTTTCCAAGTAGTTGCATTATGAACAACTGCTGAGGCTATGCAGTGAGCCATTGAACCGCCAATAACAAGCACCATCCCAAGAACCACCTGAAGTACTCACCGTGTCTCACCTACCAGCACCAACTCCGACGGTAGTCTCCTTCAGTTTCAAACACTTCCTTAGGCCCAAATATATCATCAGACACACCTGTGTTCCTTCACTGAATAGGGCTGTAAATAATTACTCACATACAAACTTCGTTAGATATCCGGTATCAGGCGAGATGAATCCCATTATGGCTCATTTTATCCAACATTGAGCCCATACCTCTGAAGTTTCAACAGATGTTGTCTCGAGAGATGTTCTTTCTTGAAGCAATACAAACATCTTCATGAGAATCAAAAAAGGGAAAGGACCTCTACTAGACAGAAGTTTAGATCCTGTTCACTGCTTCTTGGAAGACAACAAATGCATTTCTTAGAATTTAAGAGACCGTCAAGCCCCATACGAGTAAGTACAATTGGCTAAGTTAGCAAAGTAAGAGTAGACTGAATGATTAAAGAGCAAAGGCTAAGGCTCTTCCCCAAACATGCACAGTAAAATACTTCAAAGTTGAAAAAAAAAAAAAAATGGGGTGGCAAACACTTGGCTTTTGTATTATTTTTAATACCACCCTCATTGCATTTGGAAGACTTGGTGTATGCACGCACCCCTCTAGATACCGCTGAGGCAAAAGCAAAGCTCCCAGAGCCCAAGGCAGCTGCGTACCCAGTACACACATGCATACGCAGAGTCACTAGGAAATTCACCTTCCTTAATTCTTTATTTCATCTAAAATTGCAATTGCGCAACGCAGCCTTACTCTCGCACAGGTACTCGATACGCAAGACCGAAAGATCTAGATGCGTAGAGAACAACAGACAACATTTGGCATAACAACAACTGTTCTGTGCCGGGGAATACCAGCCCTCGCACTCAGCATTGCTTTGAAGTCTCTGCAGAGAAAAAGCATCGACAGAATGCCACAGCAGTACACACACTCCGTGTTGAAAACATGAAGTCGACAAGTCACTGACACCGATTTTGCACAGGATTCTCGGGGAGATCTTGTAGACAAAGCCAGGCAAAGGAGACTAGACATTTATCTGCATTAATCTCTTTCATGAACAACCTAGAGCTGCAAACAAAAAGCAAGTAGTTTCACCCTCAGAACAGTAAGAACAGATGAGAGTTTAGGTGGGAACTCCCCTGAGCTTCAGGAGACAAGCTACTTTCGAATTGCCAGGGTTCACCAACGCTAGTTACTGTTACATGCTTCAATACGGTAACAAAACTGCGGTACTGGAACACTGCGTCCAAAGCATGGCAAGTTTTCCAGTTGTGTTTTGTTGTTGCTGAGTACAACTTTGAACACTTTTGCTTGGATGTTTAGGGTGGCTTCAGTACCTTTGTTCTGCCAAAGCAGAGCACTGCTATTGTTTGCAGCGCTCCTTAGGCTGCATTAGGTACATCTCTTACCAAATGCAATGCCTGAGCATTTTGGTAAAGCACAATTGGGAGTTCTACTCAGGAAAAATGGTTGAAATAAAACCATGACCCTTCCCTGATCAGTACCACAGTTAGATTCCTTCAGCTACTTCCTAAGGATGACCTTTTCTTTTTTGATAGCTGCAGATAAAGCTGCTGTTCTACTGCACTTTGTTTGGGTGACAGCACTTCAGGGCTGTGGAAGATCAAGAACGGTCAATTGCTTAAAAATTCTGTACTGCAAGCATCAGCTAAGGAACCTGAAAAGCTAAGATTAGTGATTCAGACAGCTTTTAAATAGGTGGAAAAGGAGTGTAGAGCTTTTGGACTAACCCTGCCAAGTTCAGTGGGGACAGGCAAGACGAGACCTCCAGGTACTCCCTGGAACCGACCCACTCACTCCCTGCCCTCCTCTTTGCTAAAGTGATGGTTAACAAGGCAGAACTGCACAAAAGTTGCTCTGCACTGGCTCTGGTGCACACAGCAACCCCATCTCCTGGTTTTGTTTCTTCTCGTTTACTCGGACTGAAAGGAAGGAAAGATTAAAGTTGGTTCGCTAGGAGAGCAATTCAAATCCTGCTCTCTTACGTTACAGAGCCAAAGTTGATGCTGTTTCAGGGAAATGCCCAACGTGCTACTATTTTCTCCATGTAGTGGTAGTCCGAAGAAGGGAAGAAAAAAAAGTTCTAAGCCTGAACCTTTGAGAAAAGTACAAAAACCAAGCCGCAGGGCAAGATTTACATGTTTTAGACTGAAGGGAAATTAAAATAAAGAATACTGAAACCCTGCCCGCCCCAAACAAGAAAGATGATCAATATCACAGAGTCCAATTTTTGTAGTCGGGACCAGTGCCTGAGATAACTGACCTGACTTACTAGTTCTCTGACAGTACTGGTATCTCATCCTTAACAGTTCATTTTCCAAATGTACGAATAGCTTGAACTTCTGTAAATACAAGATTAACGGTATTTAACAAAGTGGAAACCGGACCAGCAGATCCTTTGTGATGCTGTCTCAGCTGCCTCTAAACAAACCACAGTGTCAACCCATACGGTTAAGGGGGTTTGTGTCACAAACATTTGGATGTAATGGTCCTGGGCTGGTTTTGGCACACCTCATTCTGCATCGGATACTCTACGCTTACCTTTGCTGCTGTGTTAGCTGGTAAATGACGTCTTGCTCTTGCAGTACCAAAAAGACCCCAAAAGTTTTTTGATTCTTTCAGGTCAGGCTATCAGCTATAGGGTTGCTTTACACAAGGGACAGACTACTGTAACAGTATCGCTGGCTGCCAGATCACGTTGCACACTTGCAGCTGGACCAACACTACATTTTATGTTAGGAAATGCAATTGCACCTGAACATGAAAGCCATCTTTAAGTCAAGATATGTAAATTTACTGTCATAAAAGGAATGCCATTAAGTTTCCATTCTACACACTCGGGTGAAAAATTTGTTAAAAAGTCAAGAAACAAAAAAATGCATAAAATCTGTAATAAGCAACAATATACAAAGTTTCAAATATAAAATCGTGACTTGTATCATTTGTTACTTGGATCTTTTCACAAGAGGAAATTAAAAGAACCACACATCACTGAACTTCTACACAAGCTTCTCGTGTTTCAATGTCATTTATTGAGGAGTGAATGAGATACTGTCAGACATGCCAAAGAGACTTCACATTCAAGGGCTGGAAGCTGAACAGCTTTCCTCATTGAGTCACTGTACAAGTTGGTTTTGGGAATCTGAAAGTGCGGTCAATGAGGTCTTCATGCTTGATGTTTGTCTTCAGGTTTTCATCTTTTGATCTACTAACGCGTTGGGCAGAAGGACGCTTTCTACCCTACAAAGACTCACACTCCAATTAATACAATTAACACTAGATGTAGAGAAACGTTTATCTGTTATAACGTACATCTACTGCTGAAGGTCTTAAAGCTGTTTCTTAATTCCTTATGTCTAATGAGAAAATTCAACTTGTTTCCCTTTTGCCATCGTATGGATGGCTTATACTGTTAGAAAAATACTCTTCAGTGCTATCGTAGGGTTTACAGGAAACTTCTTCCCTGTTGCGGGATAGAAACCGATTTAAACACCGTTCTGAAAGAATGCTTCTTCCTGCTGCCACTGCCTGTAGGTTGCAGAAGAATGGCCTACACGTGCTACAGTTCTGGTTTTACTCAAAAAAGAAACAAAAGAAACCTAAACAATAGGGTAAACGTTTATTTGGAGTTAGTTTTCTTGCAGATGATAATTAAGGCCCTTCAAGCAGAGTGCAGGAGCTCCTGTATGGCTGCCTGTTGATCTGCATTGAGCTGTGATATGCATTCTGTCCACAGTTCTCCAGACGTCTAGAAAAGAAAGGAGAAGTTGTCTTTATGCAGGCCGACAAGCTTCTAAAGGCACAGGCTAAATTTTCATATGTTTGCAAAGCTCAGCATTCACTGGGCTTATTCCTGTAATGTATACGCCAAAAAGAACAGACGGAAATCTTCCGTTACACGCAGTCCTACAGAGGTTCAACTAGAGATGCTCTAAAATGCTAAAGAGAGGCAAGCTCCGGTTAAATAACAGCAGAGTAATTGATCTGCAACTCCTGGGAACTCCCTAGAACTAAGTGGCTCAAATGACAATTGACTCTCTGAAGTTAACCATAGCCTAAACCATTTGTGCCGTTTTGCACTGAAAAGATCAGTGTTCAGGCAAAACTGAACCATGCCTAAACGCAAGAGGATCTTTGGGGCACTGGTGCTCCAGTAAAGCACTCAGAGGAATGC